ATATTATTTAAATAAATATATATAATTCTTAAATAAATATGTTCTTATAATTATAATATGTCATAATATACAATTAATATTCTATATATCAATATATATATTATTGTCTATATATAAATATAATCTTAAAAAATGGGAATTATATCAATTTCCATTGAATATATATATTATATAGACATATTAATAAAAATCAATTGTATTAAATTAATAAATATATCATCCGAATAAAAAACAAACAAATATCAATAATAGGTCAAAAAAACAATAATATATATTTATTATAAATATATAACATTAAATATAAATCTAAATAATATTTTGATATATATTGAAAATTATTCATAAAGCGAATCGAATATATTTCATATATATCCTATATATATCCCGTCCTAATATATAAATAAATATTATCGAATAATTTTAGATTTTAATTACAATTTATAATAAATTAAATTCATTTCTATATTTATATTTTTTCATTATTAATAATATATATAAAGACAGAATTAAATAATAAATATATATATATAATTATATATTATTATATTTATTTTTTTTACCTCTTTAATAGATTAATTTTAATTCATTATATCTAAAATTAATATATCCAATATAAATATATGATTATGTGATGGTTTCGGCCGCGCTCGCTTTAGCAATTTTCCCAGACAGCCAGACAGCAACTCATAGTTTTTACAAAGACAAAGAACGTTTCAATTGGGCAAATTCATCCTTTAGACGTTGATTTTCATGGCGCAGGCGATCATTCTCTTCCTCGATTCCTGATGGTGTCCCATTGCATCTAGCAATTCTTGGAAAAGCACTTGCGTCAACGGTGCCCGGGGTGTAGAAGTTGACATTGGCGTGGCCTCGAGTTCCACAGATTTTTGTTTCTCTGCTTCCGGATTCTTTGATGAAGAAGACGATGATGAATCCGAAGAACTAGAATCAGAACCACTACCTCCATCTCCATCTCCATGTTGGTCATCATTGGGCATTTCTGCTGCAGGAAGAACAGGTGCAGGAAGAGCAAGCACTGGAACACTGCCTTGGGAAATTGATGCCGAACGAACACTGCCATCTTTCTTGGTTTGTAACCAAGAAAGCAACGCCGTCTGGCAGTTATTCGACCAAGCAATACCTTGTGCCAGGGTTCCCTGGTTCACAGCATCGCGTCTGATGGTGCTGATTTGGATTTGAATTTGCTTTTTAGTGATTGCCGCCCTGTCACTATGCACAACGATTGTTTCATTGCCAATGTTTTCCATGATATCAGCAACATCAGGACAAGAAGTAGTTTCTGAAGAGGTGCTTTGAGACACATTGCCCATGAGCTCCAAAGTGATGTATTGTCGTTCGTTCATATAGGCTTCCACAGAGAGCTGCATGCGCGGAGATTTCGGCATGATCTACTAGTATTAAACAGTCTGACTACGAAATAAGGATTGTGCTCAGGGAAAATGCCTGCAAAATATATGCACACAAGTTACACATGAAACAAGCAAATGAACAGCAAGCAAACATAAACATGCCAAACGCAAAGGAATATTTTTTCTTTTTTCCCGAAGCTTTTGTGAGCATTAGCCCAGATCTGGTGCAGATGCTGCATGGCTTCCATTGTGATAGTCAAGGGCATTACATAAATATCTTTATTAGCTTTGGCGTGCATTTTTTCCCACCGATATTTATTTAAAGGGCATTTCCACCTTTGGCGGTTGCTATGTGAAGCCACTTTGCCGCCTTCACGCTTGCGAACCCATCTTTTTACAAATGACCAACTTTTTTTCAATGTCATTCGTAGTGAATGCATTGGTATTGATGATTTCTCCTGCGCTATGATTCACAATTTCATGCCATAAATCTGCATTGGTCCATCCCTTTTCTTTTTTAGATCAAGAATCCTCTCCCCCCCCCCCCCCCCCCCCCCTTCCCACCCCCAAAACACACCCCCCCCCCCCCCCCACCCCCCACCTCATAAGCAACATTTATGTATAATGAAGGAATGAATTTGCAAATTAGAGGTTTGGTTTGCAAATCAATTTGTTTATTGCAATGATACGTAAATAATGAAATTGGAAGTCAGATGTTGAAGTAAGCAATGAAGCCAGATGTTGGAGTATGCAATGAAGCCAGATGTTGAAATAAGCAATGAAGCCAGATGTTGGTGCAGCCAGATGTTGGAATAAGCAATGAAGCCAGATGTCAGATGTTGAAGTAAGCAATGAAAATATGTATGTTGGAGTAATATATAAATGCCTCAAAAGTGGAGGTCCGAAATCATCCCCTAGCCAAAAATATATAAATTATAGAATTCCAATAATATGAATTTCTTAAAAATCAGGGCGCCGTAATCCCGTATTTCGTCCGGAGGGCCTTCGATTAACCGAAGGTTATAAGGAACGCATCCCCCTGCCGCCAATCCCCGATATTCAACCGCGGACCTATAAAGATTCCTATATCTTATAATGCTTTCTATCCCTCATAATCTTCCATAATCATTCAAATAATATCGGTCCCTTAAAGGCCCAATATAACCCAACACAATCCCAAAATACATCAATATAAATTCAAAACAAATACATATATTAAACCAAAATTAAACCAACATAAATCCAAAATAAATTCATATAAACCCAAGATAATCTCAATATAGACCCCAAATAACACAATATAAATCCTTGCTAGGCCAACATAAATCCAAAATAAATCAATATAAATACATATATCCAATATTTTCACAAAATCATTAATATCTAATTATTAAATATAAATCTTTAAATATTAATTATTAAATATAAATCTTTAAAAATTATTTTTACAATATAAATACATTATATATATCAATTATATCAATTCTATATAAATATTAAATCTATAATCATTAATTATTAATGTATTTTTGTGTTGTTTCATTAATATAATTCAATAAATATTATTCCCCACCTGCCAGGTGAGGATTATTAGATTCTATTATATAATTGTTCTTCCTCCTCCTCCTCCCTTCCTCCTTGTTTCCTTCCTCTTCAATCTGTTTTGCCGATCTTCTCTGGCCAACTCCGGATCGCAATATATACCCCTAGACCTCAACCGCAAGAATCTCCCCGCAGTGTGCGCCCCTAAACCTCACACACAAAGATCCCCTCGCAATATGCACCCCTAGACCTCAACCGCAAGGCTCCGATTGCAGTATATATCCCTAAATCTCAATCGCAAAGATCCGATCGTAATATATACCGCTAAACCTCAACCAAATAGTTTATCAAATAAATGGTAAAATAAAATGTTGCAAGAATATATGCCAAATAATATACCAAATAATATATAAACTAAAATATTAAATATATTATCAAATAAAATATCCAAAAATATGTTTTTAAAAAAATCTATTTCTATATGCCAAATAATATTTCAAATAATTTTCCAAATAGAATAACAAATTAAACATTAAATAATATGCCAAATAATATATCAAATAAATTGCTAAATATATTGCCAAATAAAATATCAAACCATATATTAAATAAAATATCAAAAAATACCAAATAAATTAAGAAAATACCAAATAATTTGATAAATAATATCTTAAATATAAAATAATAAATTATACGGCAAATATTGTATTTCAATCCCACGATCCCAATATTACTTTAAATTACCAACCACAAATATACAAATATAAACACATAATCACAAACACACAACCACAAACACAACCCCAAACACCACAACAACAAATACAACCACAAACATAACAATAAACACA